GCGCATCGAGTTCGTCCACAAGTCCTTTGAGGAGTGAAACACATTCAACTAATGACTTCCGATGATGCGTGATCGTATGCGATAACCTAGATAGACTGGTTAGCTTGGGGATCTGGTAGATCGTCAAGGTAGCAAGAACGTCATGATACTGTACCTTTGTATCCGATCTCTAATGTCGAGGACTCGGATATTGTACGCCATCAGACCTAGCTCCAAAGAACATTCATTTTCTGGAGGCTTCAGGGGCTCTGTCATTACAGGAATATCTAGAGTAAAAGATCGCTCGTGGCAGGGAAGTTGGAGATGTATTGTTTCCTTTGGACACCCGGTGAATTCTGTTCTGCCGCTGGAGTAAAGCGTCTCCATGGTGTAGATTCCCCACATGAGGCGCCGACGACGCTCTTGAGTAAGAAAGCTCAGACGGCCATCCTCATAGTTGAGTCGCATCATGAATGCTAGTCTTGCTGCAAGGCAAGCGGATACTAGCATTTTACTGAATCGACGAGCGATGATGTGGTCCAGTGTAGTGAGCATGAGTGCCTCAATATCCGACATGGAAGGCTCACTGAGCCGCATAAGGAGCTGCATCTCCGACTCTTGGATCCATCTTGTCGCTTGTTGCAGACGGATACTGTCCCCTGATGCGATATAACGGGCTGTAAGACCACACATTGCCTTCAGAAGGCGCGGGTTGTATGTGTCCTGTGCCCAACTTTGGCAGAAGGTTGCCTTATGGATGAAGCCATAGCAGGGTATTGGATAGACAAAGTCGAAGAAAGCATCGATGTGTTGCTTGATGATTGTCTTGTTGGAGTTTAACTCGCTACATAACAGGATACAATTCAGTAAACTTCAGCGCACAGGTAGCTGCTAGGCTTGCAAGAGACTCAACTTACAACCCAAGTGATGAGGCCGGAGAGTGCGCAACGGAGGAATCTCGATTCATAGACGAAGTTCTATTTTCCATGCTGTTTTCCGAACCACCACGCACTGTATCAGGCCGCTGGTGTCGGAGATCCGAGTTTGGATTTCTGGCTGACGAAGATTTAGACACGTCTGGATACCGGCAGTCCACCCCTCGATGAGAGCATCGCCGACATGAGGGCTGCGTGCCGCAGCACTTTGTCTTCTTGTCACGACATTGTATGCAAGCAGTGCGCACACGACGCTTCTCTAGCCTCAAATGACTTGGATCACTGCTGCTGGGAGTGGAAGAATTTGCAGTATCCGGCAACTGATCAGGTGCTGCAAAAGAGCAGTGGAACTTGAGCCGACGACAATTCTCGCATCCTCCAGGTTCGCCGTCACATCGGACCTATCGGCTACGGGTTAGGGGACCCTCTTCCCGAAGGACCGCGGCAGGGAAACTCCGGGTGCAAGTTGACCGCGACTTACCTTGCGGTTCCGGCACTGGAAACATATCTGCAACCCTTTTCGGGGCCGACCCGAAGCGCGATATGGATTAGGCGTCTCCATGTTCGAGTCTTACCCGCAGTATTTTCTGATCAAAAGAGTGAAGATGCATAAGGTCGGGGGACGAGGTGGGAAGTCGGGGGAAGAAGAGATGACATGTCTTCCGCCCGAGTTCCGCGTTGATTTTGACTTTCTCGCCTCCGCCCGAGTTCCGGGCCCCGGGGCCACCCTAGTCGAACGCCAAAATCCCAAGCGGGCGGTCACCGGGTTCCTCACCCGCAAAAGATTTTCGTTCTGGACTCTTTGCTGGAACGCTGGATCGCTCCGTCGCAGCGTGGCTTTCTCCATTCCTCCACTTACCTCCAGGAATTCAACCCTAGCGCCGTGAACGGCTTGCTTCCCCAGTGGGTTCCCCAAGTTGGGGAAACCTCCTCCGCCATGTGTTGGTTCCTCTCGTGCGTCTGATCGGACGACTCTATTGCCAGTGAAAGGGGTGATTAGCTCAGATCAATGGGGAGTCCTGGCTCCACTTGACAGGGAACGACGTAGTAACGTAATAACCACGAGGCGTAGAGTTTGATTCCTTCAACGCGTCTGAATACATAAAGACCGGGCAGAGAATGCATCGCCAAATCTATCCCAATCACCCTGTCACTTGAGGCAAGGTGTTGAGGCTATTCGAACAGTCGCACAAAGAACTCTGAGGTCACCCATTCGCGATGGCGCCCAATCGGATCCTTAAACACTTCAATGGCACCCTAGCTGCCGCCTTCACGGTGATCGCCGTCTCGACCTTCAACTATGGCTTCGATAATGCAGGCTACTCGACAACCCAGGCGATGGACGCGTTCCAGCGCCAGTTCGGCGACCAGAACCCCACAACTGGCAAGTGGAAGCTTCCCACTGGCTGGCTCGCCTTATTCAACAGTCTCAACTACATCGGCTTCGCGGCCGGCGTCATTATTGGCAGTCTCGTCAGTGCACGCTGGGGGCGCCGGTGGTGCATGTTTGGAATGAGTGCGTGGGCCGTGATCCCTGCGACCATCGCGATTACCTCAAGTACCCGAGAGCAGATCATGGCAGCGCGCATTCTCAACTGTAAGTCTGATCTGGCACGGCCTTGCAACTCCCAATGCTGACTTGAGCAACAAGACATCTACGTTGGCATGGAACTCGCTGTGGTTCCGGTGTATCAGTCTGAGATTGTCCCCTCGGAGATTCGTGGATTTGCAGTCGGCTCTTACCAATTTAGTCTGATGGTATGATTTCTATAATCAGTCAATGTACTAAGGTAACAAACTTGATCAACTGACACTTTTCTATTTAGTTTGGTACTCTGATTGTAAACTCTATCTGTAGAGGAACTAGCACCCTGGAGGGCAATGCATCTTGGCGGATTCCGATGGGCTTATTCTACGTTATTCCTGTCATCGTCATGGGCTTGATCTTCTTCATTCCCGAGGTAAGCTTGTGCCGACCACGAACTCCTCACGATACACACTCCACGTACTAACTTTCGTTTAAGTCACCTCGCTGGCTGTTGACCCAGGACAGAGTCGAAGAAGCCCAAATCTCTTTAAGGAAACTCCGAGCTGGCACCATCCCTGACTCGGAGATCGATGAACAGTTCGCCGCCCTTCAGTACGCTTTGAAACAGGAAGTCGAACAAGGGAATTATATGGAACTATTCAAGGGTGTCAACCTGAAGAGAACTGGTATCGTAATGGCCATGAACTTCTTCCAGCAGGCGACCGGGCAGGCTTTTGCCTCTACCTACGGTGCAATTTTCATCAAGGACATTGGCACCGTTAACCCCTTTACCATGACTATCATCAACGCCGTCGTGAACCTTTGCATGGTCTTCGTCGGACTCTACCTGAATGATCGCGTGGGACGTCGGTATGTCAATCTCTACTACAGACCGTATCTGTCGTATCTTCCGAGCCATACATGTACTAACCTCACAATTCATTAGACCTCTTCTCTTGATCGGCGCAGTCTGGCAATTTGCCGCCATTGTAACTATGGGCTCCCTGGGAACAGTGGCTGACCCATCATTCGCCGTCAAGACGAGCATCGTGGCCATGCTGACGATCTTTGCCGCCGGCTACGTCTTTGCATGGGCGCCTCTGAACTACGTCGTCACTACCGAGATTCCGGCCCTCCGACTGCGTGACGCCTCTCAACGAACGGCGTCAATGGTCAATGTCTTGGCCAACTTCCTCGTCAACTTCAGCATCCCGTACCTGCTCTACACTCCCGGCGCAGGATTAGGTTCGAAAGTCGGTTTCATCTTTGCGGGAATCCTGGTCCTGGCGCTGGTCTTTACGTGGTTCTGCATCCCCGAATGCAAGGGCAAGTCTCTCGAACAGATCGACCGGATGTTCAACGAGGGGGTCCCGCTGCGCAAATTCGGCAAGTACAAGGCGGAGGATATGTTTCAGGCTTCGCCTGAGGACGGCGAAAAGGCCGGGGTCGTTGTGACCGCAAGGCACACGGAGAAGGCGTAACGCGGAAGGAAGCCCAAGGTGTTTGATTCAACGGTCACTAGATGATCTCAATTCCTAGACCAAGAGCGAAACTCAGGGGCATACATATCTTACGTTGCAAGATCTCAATACTTCCCAAAGCTGTGCTGTGCCGGCCCCTTCATCAACCGATGAGAGGCTCAGCCCCAATGTAGAGGCCAGGTACTCTCCCTTACTAGTCGGGAATTGCTTCTAGCCAGCATCCAAATTTGGTAGCAAAATGTGGTTGACTGTAGCCAGAAAGGCTAGGTTGTTTCATGATGTGGTCTCATGAACCTCTTTGAGAATTGTTTCGATATTTCCGTCCTCAAGGATTACCAGCAGAGTTCACTCTAGAGTCCTGTTGGTTTGGTCCACGCGGAGTGACCTGCCCGTTGCGGTCCAGCCCGAGGCGGCCCGGCACGGCGGTAAGAACCTATTTCTATTGACTACATTCAAAATGTGGTTACATCGGCGTGGCCGATGCCAGGATCGCGCTCAGCTCGTTTCGCAACCACTATCTTGGGTCTCTTGGGGTAGATAAGCGTACATGCAGTTGATGAACTAGATTGGTTTGTTCCTGGCCTCCTCAAAAGCCCCTGTTCCAACCTGCTACCAACAACATGGTGCCATTCGACTTCAAACAACCCCTGCATTCAGAATCGGGCGCTATATCTCAATTGAGTTGATGATCCAATCAACGTCAACTTCGATTGCTCAACATTGCCTCACAATGCCAAGATCACAGCCTTCACGCCACGTACCTGCGATAAATCTGCCTTGTCGGGTCATATCCGTTGGCGCAAAATGCCGAGTGTTGGCGATAGAATCATATCCCTGGGCCTACTAATTGTGGCAGTCAGAGGGGAATGGAAGTTGAGGCTCTCTTTCTCTTCATTAGTATAAAAGCCTCTGAATAACTCGTTTTGAGTTCTGTTCTCGCAGTGTTTCGGTTTGATAATTACGCGCAGCAAGTCTTCACATCGCATCGATAACTTCGTATCTCTTCTCATCTTTCGCTATCATCAACCCGCAATTTATCACTCCCTTGAACTTTACCATAACCCTGTTCGATTGAGCATGGCTCAACCATCAACGCTCTCAATCCCATCTGGCTTGTTCGAGTTCGAACGCAAGTCGCCAGGTTTGCCCCTATCTCCAGTCGCGACCAGCCCCAATTTGCAGGATGCCGAGTCGCAGGTAGACTATGTCGCCAGCTCAGGAGCCGGCTCTCCATGCTACGACAAAGGTCACTATCAAGACAAAGCTGATGTAATTCCCGAGAATCTATTCGACAGCGAGAGCAGCAGGGTCCTGTTCGATGCCATTGACAGGCTTCAATCATGTGGAGTCAGCCAAGAGCTAGCGATTCCTCAGGTAAGACCAGCCTATCTCCTTACACCTGACCAAAGTTTACAAGTTGATCCGTATCTCAGCTCGTCATTGTCGGTGGTCAATCTACAGGAAAGTCTTCATTACTCCAGAGCTTGACCGACATTCCCTTTCCAGTTGGTTCTGGGTGCTGCACTCGCTTCGCGACAAGGATCGTGTCTCGGAGAACCGCGCCTGGAAGTCGTAGCTCCGTCAAGGTGACAATCGTAGAGCCTGATGTTACCGACAAGTTTGGCTATCCACCGGATGACACGTATAAGGAATTTCCGCCTTATGTGACTGATCATCTGGGCGTCGAAGAGTTTAAGCAGCTCATGGAAACCGTAGGCCCTGGCCAATCCTTTCTTTCATGACGCTATCTCTTACAAACTCTGTAGATCACCACCGAGTACATGGGAATCAAGAGAGGTAAAGGACATGCAACGAAGAACTTTGCTTCTCAAGTTCTTCGGATTGAACTATCCGGCCCTTCCCGATCGCACTTCAGCATTCTCGACGTACCTGGCATCTTCTCTTACGCCCATGATGTCAACGAGGACGAAGAGCATGGTGTAAGACAGATGGTCGAGGAGTACATGAGACAACCAGCGAACATTGTCATGTTAGTTGAAGCTCGTAACTCGGCCATTCACGAGACTAATGAGCAGTAGATGTGTGGCCGCTGCTACGGCTGATTTGTCTACTCAAGAGATCTTCAAGATGGCCGGCAATTTTGTCGACAAACATCGTCTTGTTGGAGTCTTCACGAAGTGTGATAGGTTGGAGAATCCGAACGAGGTGGGTTACGGCTGAAAATTGCGTTGCTGAAAATCTGCTGACCTTTACAAGGTAATTGACATTGCCAGTGGGTATGGCAAAGACTCTACAAGATCTATGAAGGACGGCTGGTTTGTAGTGAGAAATCGATCCGATGCCGACAATGAAGAGCTTGATTTCAAAGAAGCTGAACGCAAACTCTTCAGTCGCTCGCCTTGGGACAGAATCCCAGAGAATCGACGAGGCTCCGTACAGCTTCAGAAGTATCTCGGCAATCTTCTCTGCGCTCAGATTCGAGGAAACTTTCCCGCGATTCAAGAGTCCGTCCGGAAGTTGCTCTCGGATGCCAAAGACAGCAGGAAGAGTCTAGGGAAACCTCGCCCAAGCCATAGTCTTCGTCAGCAATACATCAGGGATGTGGTGGAGAAGTACCACACAGTGGCGACAAAGACTCTCAAGAGCCCTGGATCGTTGGCCAAGGACAGTCTACGCGTCAGAGGATTGGTCCGTCGCGCAAACGAAAGCTTCACCGGTCAAATGCTTGCCCGTGGGCATACGCACACCTTTGAAGACCATGGAGTTGACCCTATGACCCAGCTCTCCGACACCATTACCTTGTTGTCAAATCCACAACCAGCCACAGTTCCGACACCAACCGGGCACGAGCAAGTTACTACGCCACCGACAACACCGCCAAAGAAGCGACATGCACCGCCGGCTCAACAACCTACCAATTTCCAGTCCCACCGCGGCGCGCCTTTCGTGGATGAAATCCGTGAGCAGCTTCACATCTGGCAGACAACAGAACTCCCTGGGATGGTAAACACAGAGGTCATCCAGATTCTCTACAAAGCGCAGTCAGAGCAGTGGCAACGGATTGCAGAACAGCACATTGAGAATATTGCCGACGATGTAGAAAGGGCTTCTAATTCGATTCTCGAAGATGTTTGTTCGCCTGAAAATTGTTCGAAAATTCTGTATGAGGAGCTGGCTCGAGCCCTCACCCACTTTCAGCAAGAAGCCAAGCAGAAAGCTCTTCGAGAGCTCAAAGAGCATTGCCGACGCGAGAGAGAGACTCACCTCCAGACGACAGACGCAAGGTTTCACGAAAGGCTGCAGGCTCTACGGACTGTTCGACTTCTCAAAGCGATTGGCTCGAGCTTTTCTTCATTCAAAGGTCTGGACCTGAGCAGCTCCAAGATTCTCTTCCATCAGTTACACCACTCAATCGAGGGCAACATGGTTAACGATGTGCATGACGTTGTCAAAGTTTACTACGAAGTATGCCGAGCTCCTTGCAATCCCACATCTATCAAAATTTTCTAACACGTCCTCCAGCTTTCTCTCGAGGCCTTCATCAGATACATCACCAACGATATTGTCGAGGATTTCGTATCTTTCTCCAAGGGACCCCTATTGGGATTGTCCACGGACTGGGTCTTCACGTTGACTGATGAAGAAGTTCAGAGGCTCGCTCGCGAGGATGACGAGACAGTGGGGAGACGCTCGCATTTTGACGGAGTCATTAAAAAGCTGGAAGCTGCGCATGAAATAGCCGAGAAGGCTAGGATTCAGACTCGGAATCTTGGGGACATGTGAGCTTCCTCACTGGGCGTACGAGAGACTTGAAACCTGTGGTTTTAGTGTAGGACATGTAGAAGATTGACAGTTCCGATTTATCGATTCTCTGCTCCTTTTCCATACCTCTATGGCATACATGCCATGCATGTCAGTCCATGACAATCTGGTACATCTTCATTCAAGAGGCACAAAGTAGCAGTCTAAGAAGGTCTTACTGGCGAAGGGCAAACTAAAGAGGAATGACTTCACGTGCATGAGTCTAGAACGAACACCCTGTGCGGATCCTGACTTACTTGCTCAGAAGTAAGGTACCTGGATTCGCCATCCGTCGCCAACCCCGTTTCTTGGTGGCCCGAGTCAACGTGGTTCCCCATGGGGTTCGTCACGATCCTTGATCAAAAGGCCCAGATAGAGTTTTCCGGTGGCGTGTTACCCGGGCCGGAGAGACGAATGAAGAGTTGCGGAAAATCGGCAAGAGATTGGACCCCTGGGAGCCGCAAAGATGCAACCAACAAAAGGGCTCATTCAGGAACGCAGCCGCATACGGATACATGTTGGGAGGCCGAAGCGGCGTATGAGCGGTTGCGCATTCCTGTCCGGGATTTCCTTTTGGGGCAAGCCGGGACTGAGACCGTGCAAAGAAGCAAAAAAAAAGCTCTTGTCAGGACCCGGTTAGAGATGAGATGGTGTGGTTTATGTTGGTCCAGGCCGTCCAGTTGCGTCGCAGTGGTGCCTTTTTTTGCATTCCGGTGACAGGGACGGCAAAATCCTGGGGGACATGCGGGGTAAAGTTTACGGGGGCAGCCATCAACAAATAGTGTGTCTGAGGCTCGCGAAGCCGGACAACACTCCGCGCTGGCTGACTGATTGATTTGATGGTCGGATTCCTGTAGTCGGCAATACCAGTCTGCTGAACGGGTGAAGTTGGATCTTGGCCACTGCTGGATTCAAAAGTGTAAAGTTTGGCTTTGCCTCCGAGTCAAACCCGGGAGTTGCTGTAAGCGCTACCTTAGTCTGTTGGCAACTCCGGGCAACGTCCGGGAGGCAAACTAGAACCAAATTTGCTCGAGTGGCGATGGTCTAGCTGACGTCGACGGCAATAATTAATCCCGAGACACAGCAGGGGTCAATCAGGAGGCTTTACGAACGGTGTTCACGGTCAAAGCAGGTAAGGCATAGATTCATGGAATCATGGTATTTAGATGATTGAATGATTTGTTGTGGTATCTATGCTTGAATCTAGATGAACTAGTGGTATCTCAACAACAGGCGAAGTACTACAGACTTCATAAGAGAACGGGAATTAATGACATCGGATATCAATCCGTGCCCAATTTGAGAAGGCCGGAAATTGCCCGGCAAAGGACATAATTCGTAGAGATGGGGTATATCGGTTTTAGGCCACCCTGGCTGAGTTCCTCATCCCGACCAGGGGACTAAATGCGCAATTTTGAACGCGGGAATGAACCGCCAATTAAGACTTCTCCTCCTTCTCGACGTTTTGGGTCTCCTCGTCCTGACGCGCCCACAGTCCGTTGGGCTCACCACTGCTGGTGCTGCCCTCGCGACGGTTCTCGCGGGTGGTGGCGTGGCCGGTCTCCTTGACGTCGTCGTAGGTGATGAGGAGCTCGCCGTTCTTGCCGTAGCGGTGGGGCTCTTTGCGGGCGACATCGACGACATCGAAGGCACCCTTGAGTCCGGGGGAGGCCTTGGCAAAGATGGAGTCCATCTCTTCGAGGGAGCGGTAGGCGGTCTCGGGGAAGAAGAAGTAGGTGACGGGGACAATGATAGCGTTGATGATGGCGAAGATGGTGTAGGTGTGGTGCTTGATGGAGTCGAAGGCGACGGGAGTAATCATAACGACCTGGAAGTCTAAGGTTAGCGTCGAAATGATAAGTAGACTTCAGATAAGAACCCACCATGAAGTTGAAGATCCAGTTAGCGGAAGTGGAGAGAGCATTGGCGGGAGCACGGATACGCAGGGGAACGATCTCGGCGGGGTAGAGCCAGGTCATGCCGAGCCAGCCAACGGCGAAGAAGGTGTTGAAGACGAAGAGGAAGACAATACCAGTGATCTGGCAAGCGTAGGTGCTCTGGGAGTTAACTCCAGCGAGGATAGCCATCGTAGCAGCCTGACCAACAGCGCCAAAAAGCATGAGCTTACGGCGACCGACGCGCTCAACGAGGAAGACCGCAGGCCAAGAAGCAATGAAGTACTCAGTACCGTTGAGAGCAGCCAGCAAATGGGCCATGAAGCGGGTCATGCCGAGGTTGGAGTAGATGACGGCGGCGTAGTAGGTGATGAGGTTGATACCGCAAATCTGCTGGAACATCTGGTTGACGTAGCCGAGCGCGGCACGGTGGAAGTTGCGGTTCTTGTCCATGGTGAAGAGGTCGCGGAAGCTTCCCTTGGACATCTCTTCGACCGTCTCCTTCATGACAATGTACTCGTTCTTGCAGTATTCATCATCCTCGGGCAGGTCGGCGATGGCGGCGATGACTTCCTTGGCCTCCTGGTCGCGGTTCTTGAGAATCAACCAGCGAGGAGACTCGGGCAGGTTCCAGACAAAGGCCAAGATGAAGAGACAGAAGAGAATCTGCAGAGCCAGAGGGAAACGCCATGCGACGGAGCCGGGAGCGAATGACATGCCAAGGTCGATCCAGTACGAGATCATAATACCACCGCTGATGAGAGCACCCTCGATCATCACAAGCTTACCGCGCTTGTGCGAAGAGCAGGTCTCAGATTGCCAGGTAGGGACTGTTGATGTGTTGCCGCCGTTTCCAAGACCAGTGATGATACGTCCGATAATGAGGTGCTCGATGGAGAAAGCAGACGCCTGGAGAGCAGCTCCGATGACCATAATGGCGGTACCGAGGATAATCATGCGCTTGCGACCAAGAGGGTTTCCGATGAAGATAGTGATGATGGCACCAAGGAAGCAGCCAAGGTTGTAAGAGGCGACGGCAATACCCTGGTTGGTAGAGCGCATACTCTTGACGTGGGGGAGAAGGCCGGTCTCTTCGGGGTTGATAGAAGGGAATTGGGACTGGAAGGCAGGCAGAGTGAGAATACCGCCAGTAACACCCTGGTCTGGATGAGAATGCTAAGTAAGTCGATGTTGTTCGATCACTTCGGAGTGAAGTCCGTGATGTGATGTTGGAACCTACCATATCCGAAAAGCAAGAAATCGCATCCTGCGATAATACTGATAGCCCAGTTAAGGCTCTTGCCTCTGAGGCCGAAGTAGTTGAGCTTGCCCATGTTGAAGACTCTATCACAGCGGACAGTATTGGATTGACGTGTTCCAAACAATGTCGAGGGCTGTAGGTCGCAGATCGGTTGGTGAAGGGAATGGGGTTGGGTCGAGATGAGAGGTAACAACAAGAAGATCAGTTGCGAATTGAGATGGCGAGCGTGACGACCTTATAGATGAAAATCCCAAACCTACCGCGACAGGGTAAAGATCGGCAACGTCAGCGCGACCGCCAGGAATTACTTCTTTCTCCTCACCACTCACGCTCATACCACAAGACGCAAGTACATGCCCGAACCTGCACTGACATGGTAACATGGCTACTCGTGCCAGCCTCGGACCCTGGCGTTGGTGCTGTTTACACCGAACCCAGAAAACCCCAAGTAGCCAATCCCCAGCCGTCCCACGAAAGGCTGCCCCAATTTCCCCCAATCCCCGTACGATCCAAGATCCCTCTGGAGGGGAGGGGACATTCTCCGACCTTGAGGAGGGGGGTAACGACTCCACATCCGGTTCCACGGGGGTGGACAATGGGGGCCCAAGGGGAGGACACAAAGAACGGTTGGTGACATGTCGTCAGGCCCGGCCAAGACGCCGTCATGGAACGCGCGGGGCCGCTTGTAGCCAATACGGCGCCGGGAAGGGTAAGAGTTTTGCGGGTTCGTACATAACTAGACGTTGCAATACGGTGGCTTCACCGCTCTGAGACGTGAACACTCGTGGAGTTTCCGTCCCATCGCGCGGCAGAATTCGGAGAGACACCGACGCGAGAATGGTACCTTTGCCATCGCGCCCGTGCTTGACCAAAGGATAAGGCAGCACCATTGCGAAAGCGGAGCAACAAGTACCCAAAAGAGCCGCAATTGTGTCCATAACCGTACATTATCGGTGGAGTTTAGATGGAGAAGTACTGGAGACTACGACGTCATACCTTGAAGACTTTGATAGCAGACTGATAAGTAATGCAAGAGAAAAAGTACCCCGAGAATGAAGAGTGGCCTTTGTGCATCTCACATCTAAACTTGGGCCAATACCGTTGGCTCAGTTAGACTTGAGTTGGAACTATTCCTGTCCGAGCGACGCCGTCTGCGAGTCAGGGGGCCCTGTGCGAACCCTGCGGCAACCTTGAGCTGACCACCGCCGCCCGCCCCCTCGAGAAGCGCCGAGGACACGGGACTTGGGTAGAGGAAGGATTGAGAAGCCAGGGTAGTATCGTAGCCGCTGAGAGCGCTTGCAGCTGCGGATTCTGACTCCCAGTTGTCTGCCCGTCCAGCCATTGTGATCTCTCTCTTTGGCTGCTTTGGCAGATTAAGTTGGACCCGCGGTCGTGGGGACAACAGGCGATAGAACCAGGTTTCAAGTTGAAAAATACTCGCACGCGATTTGTCAATGTCGGCAGTTGTTGGTAGCCAGGTGCGTCGAGATTGGTGGACCACATGACGTACTGGTTCAGGCTATATTGATTTCTGGAAGTTAGACTTTAGTTTTTGTTTTGTCTTTTTCTCCGACTCGTGATTCCCATGTCAGTAATTAACCAGATGCTGAACCGAGCACATGTCGTTAGAATCTCAAAAGCTTGACTAGATGCTAAGAATAAGCACTATAAGCACAAGCCTTGACAAGACGATTCGCGGACATTGGCAGCTCTGCCAATGTTCTTGTCAATTGCTTGTCCAATGCCTATCCCTTGGTATTATGAATCCTCATTTCTTGTGGCCTCCAGTCTTGCAAGCACAATTGCGGCTAACTGTGGAGGCTGTT